CACAGCCGCCCTGGGGCGCACTGACAGAGGCGAGGCTGCCGGACACTGACCACTGACCTCTGACCACCACCAGTAGGCAACGGGTGAAGTTTCTTGCCCAAGGACACAATGACTGAGACTGTCGGAGTCGGGGCTCGAACCGGCAACCTTCCAATTACAAGATGAACTGCCAGCTCTTGAGCCACGATCAAGAGTATATTTGCAGTAAATCATATTTTTACATGCATGTATATATAAATTATATCTTATGATCATTTAAGGGAACAAGGTAACTTTGAGCCTGTACAAATATTCAGCTACTGAGAGAGGAACTCAGATGTTTTTAGTCTTTTAGTGACATTTCTCTATCAGGGAAAACCAACCGTGTGCTTCACATGTGCCTGTGAAAATGAGAGCGTCAACCCGAGCATGTGTTTGAGCACCGAGCAGCAGAGTGCTCTGGGATATGAATCCCTGACACGTAACAATGAAAATAAACACACATTTGCCTCATTATGGAATACACCCACCAACTCAGTGTCTTAGTGTGTGTAGTGACTCTGCTCAGTGTTAAATAAACCCTTTGGTTGTTACCTCCTGTAATGGGCTGGTGTTTCTCTTATGACTCTGTCAGTCTTAAATTTGCATGTGTGATGCTGTAGATGAGGGATGTCGAGGGTACAGCATGATCACTGAAATATCTTAATATATGACAAAGCAATGAAATTTCAACAGCACATCTCAGTTTTTCTACATGGTAAATATGTAAAATTACGTTGTGCTCACTGCCCAGACTGTCCTATATTTATAAAACCTTAATAAACGTTTCATTTACTAATGTTTTTGTTAATTTTGTTAATTTTTTTCTTCATTCAGTCAGCCTTGTGTCAATCCAGGAGGTCACCACCCAAACATGCCAGGTAGAGTCAACAAACAGGTCTTTCACCTTTTTGATGTCACAGTGAGCTCAGTGTTTCTGTGGTAAATAACACAGAGCTGACTCATGGGAATAATAACATTATGGTGAATTTGTATTTACCCAACAGGGTGGGATGCATGTGGTGAGTGCTGCCTTGTCTCTGAATAAGGTTCTTTCAACAGTGTCCAGCAACAGAAACATCGCCGCCCTTGAGATGAATCATCTCTGCTCTAAACATGTTTTGCACTTCTATAC